ATCTCGCGGCGGCCATTGGTTGCTGTTCTTGCACCCAGTGTTCTCTTCAGTTTCTCTGCGTGGCAGTCTTCATGTGGCCAAGGAGTCTCTTTCATATTTAGTTCACTCAACAATGGCCTCAGTTTTGTGTTAGTCAATAAAGATGCCAAAAACTCAGTCTTTGCTGTCAAGGAACCTAGTCTAACAGGAAAGGGACTTAGATCAACATTGCTCTGAGTGAAAGGAATAAACGTGTCAGAAAAGAAGTTCAGAGATGACAACGGTGCCACCAAATCAGGGCAACCCTGGGAGGCGGCCATCAGCTGAGGCCTTAGAGTCATTTAAGGGGTTGCGGGGATGGGTGCAGGGAGGTGAGAAGGGTGGGTGCATTTTAAAGAGAAAAGTGAGCCGTAACTGGTTTGGCTCAGTGACTAGAGCATCAGCCCTTGTACTGGTCTCAGAGCGAAAGCATGACACCACCCCATCAAGTGGAGGCAACCAACTGATGTGTCTCTCTCACATCCATGTTTCTCTCGGTGTCTCTGCCCCTCCCTTCCACTCTCTCTAAAAATCAATGGAAAAATATGCTCAGGAGAGCATTAACAACAACAAAAGAGAGAACAGTGAAACAAAAGGCAAAGAGAAGAGGAGAAGTCTTTGTACAGCTGCTGCCAAAGAGGAAAGCAGTTGGACTAGCACAGGCCTGTCGTTGGGCGTATGGTATTTGTCTCGTCGCAGTACAAACAACTTTCAAAAGGTGCCGAGCGTTGCCTCTTCTCCCTCATTCTTTCACACAGCACTGGCTTTGGGTGAGGAATCTGCTGATTAGCCATGTCCTCCACTCCGGGGCCCTTTGCCTTCTACTGTTTATCTGAACTCGTGAAATTAAGAGCTGCGGTTTCCCCACTAGAGGAATTTCAAGCATAAGACAGCAGCTGGACAGAGATTTTTTTTGGATGGAGGGACCTTTCCATGAAAGGGCTTGGCCTTGAAAATCTTTATCTGCAGATAACAAACTTGGCTGGGTAAGGTTGCTTTTGGAGGAACAGTCGCATTAACAGCTGCACATTTACCACGCTCTCTGGGCAAATCCCATCCCCTCCCCGCAGCAAGCAGTCCAGCTTGAAAGGTGCTGCCGTGTCCTGAAAGCCACTCTTGAGGGAAGGGGGAGCATAACTTCACCAGGCCCCCCTGATACAGCTGTGAGCAAGGGCTCCAGTCTGCCCGAGGCCCCAGGAACTTTGTGTTCTGACCATGTGAGCCACCCACTCATTCCCACTCTGCACCCCAGAAGGGACCTCCACCTCCCTCTCCTGCTGGGCTCTGACTGTCCTCAGGAGTAACCCCCCTCCTCTCCAGAGCCCGTACTCCTCTACTATTGAGCTAACAAACCCCTCCACACCCTTAGCTCTCACCTGCTGTAACTGACGCCTGGCTCCCCCGCTCCCCAAGGTCTCAGCTCCCGCCCAGCTCTCTCCAGGTCAGGCTGTTCATTTTCTCACACTCCACAAACTCAGGGTCGGGAGGTGGGGTCACCAGCCTCCCCGCTGACCACATCCACCCATTTCTCTTCCATTCTATGAGGTTTGAGCCATACCTCAGCCCATGCCCACCTTCCTCCTGGTTACTCCCCTTATAGACCCAAGACTTTGACAATGGGCTCACAGTCTTCCCTCCACCTAACTCAGTGATTCCCAAAGTGGGCGCTACCGCCCCCCGGTGGGTGCTGCAGCGATCCAGGGGGGCGGTGATGGCCACAGGTGCATTTGGGGGCGATGAGTAACTGTTATTAAAATTAAAAAAAATTAATTTCCAAAGGCTGAGTAATATTTTTTCTGGAAAGGGGGCGGTAGGCCAAATAAGTTTGGGAACCACTGACCTAACTGCTACCACCACCCTCGGTGGCCTTTGCAGCCGATCAATCCCATACTCCAGGCTCTCTATCCCTTGATCTCATCTCCAAAGACCTTCCCTTCCCCTCTGTTTAGGTCATACCTTCCGATGGACAGGGTCAGGAACTGAGACATTGCACCACCTTTTTTTTTTTTTAATATATTTTATTGATTTTTTTACAGAGAGGAAGGGAGAGAGATAGAGAGTTAGAAACATCGATGAGAGAGAAACATCGATCAGCTGCCTCCTGCACATCTCCTACTGGGGATGTGCCCGCAACCCAGGTACATGCCCTTGACCGGAATCGAACCCGGAACCCTTGAGTCCGCAGGCCGACGCTCTATCCACTGAGCCAAACCGGTTTCGGCGACATTGCACCTTCTTATCATCATCTCTCAACCTCCTGGCCCATTCATCCAGTTACTCCCATCACACTACCACTGCTTCCTCAGCCTCACATCCATTCACTCTTCCACTTTCTCTCTACCAGCCCTTCTGGCCTCATGCCGCTCACTCCCTATCCAGCTTGAACTGCATCTTGTGGGAGCACAGGTCCTCGGACGCTGGGTATTAGACGGAGACGTGAGAAGCTGTAGGCATATATAGGAGAGACTTTATTGGAGATTAAGTAGCCATTGCTACTACAGGAACCATGAGACAAAGTAGTTCTTGAAAGTAGTCCCACAGAAGCAGCCGCACAAGGCAGCCTAGCCCCTGGCTGGTCAGTGGTAACATATATACACGCTCACACAGAAGAGGCCTCATGCCAACTCATGACGCTCATGCTACGTTAACATAAGCAGGGTTACATCCTCTCCTGCACGCATGCGTATGGCAAAGTGGCCTTGATCACCCAGCATACCCCGAATTAGGGTTCCCACAATGCTCCATCTCATCAGTCACTCTTTCAACTCCTCACAATCACCATTTCTTTCTGAACTCCAACCTGCTTGAGTCTAACAGCCTTTTTTCTGAGCAGACCTCACAGTGGAGTAAAGCACACAGCTTAAGAGATTGAGGCCTCCAGATCAATGGCCACCCACCTCAGCTGGGTCCTCTACTCTGCCAACAATTTCTCTGTCCTAGTCCTTATGGGGCCCACCCTGGGAGCACAGAGCTCCTCTAGCCTAACCCTAGCCCTTCCATTTTCTCCCGATCCTCAGGGGCCTAGAGCCACATTTCCTGCTCTCTTCCTCCTGTATGAGCAACATCCCCCCACTCACCACCCTCCACCCCAGAAACTTCCAAAAACAACTAAACAAGAGAAAGTGCTCTAGTCCCCCTCATCTGAAAATAAATAAGCCCTCTTTCTTGAGCACATGTCCCTCCAGCTACTGCCCCATCTCCCTTCCCTTCATAACCAGATACCTACACTCCCTGCCTCCATTTCCCTACTTCCTTACTCCTGGCCCTGCTGTCATCTAGCTCCTGCCTCCACCCTGCCACACCTGCTCTCACAGGGCCACCAGGGGGTACCATTCAGTGTTGCTCTGACACAGTTGATCCTACCTCCGCCCCCCTGTTGTCCACCTGTATCTCAGCTCCCTCCTCCCATAAATCCTGAGTTTGGTGCTCCTCTAAGTTCTCTTACAGGCCCTCTGATTTCAGAACTTCAACTCCCAGCAAATGATAATGCTCATAAATCTACATCTCCAGGCAGGCTCACAGGATGCACTCAGGTATGGCAGAGACTGCGTAATGTCAACATGGCCAGAACCAAATTAACTTCTCTTCAACTCACTTCTCCTTTGTGTCCCTCCTCTCCACGAAAGGCAGCCCCATCCATTCTGTCCCAGAGCAGACCTGGGCCCAGCATATAAACATCAATATTTGCTGAATGAATCAATGAATCCTTGAACCTCCCTCATTCTTCACCGCCAATCACCAAGGCTTATCAACTTCACCTCTTTCTATAACCCTCTGCTTATTTTTATTTTATTTTTTAAAATATATTTTTATTGATTTCAGAGAGAAAGGGAAAGGGAGAGAGAGATATAGGGTGTCCCAAAATTCAGGCAAGATTTGAATTTTGCGTGAGCATTAACAACAACAACAAAAAATAAAAGCCTAATTTTACTTGGTTTATTGAATCAGATTCTAATATCTGTTGCCCTTTGATTTCAATCCTTTCAATTTGATAAGCATTACCAAGTACCAATTATGGCCCAGGAGCAGGGACAATGAAGACCTATGAAGACCACAGCTTTGCGTATGTGCCAGCAAAGCCGTGGAGGCCATTTACCCGATGTGCTATTCCATACATAACCCTATACTGTATACTTTATGAACCAATACAAAATTTACAATTTTTAATTATAAACCTGTATTTTCTATCAAAATTACTTCTTGCGTGAATTTTGGGACACCCTATAGAAACATCAGTGATGAGAGAGAATCATTGATCGGCAGCCTCCTGCATGTCCCCCACTGGGGATCGAGCCCACAACCCGGGCATGTGCCCTTGACCAGAATCAAACCTGGGACCCGTCAGTCCGCAGGCCAACGCTCCATCCACTGAGCCAAACCAGCTAGGGCATCTCTGCGTATTTTTAGTTGAGACTGGCTGCCTCCTAGCATCCCTTGGAAGGCTTCCAGGACCCCTCAACTTCGGCAGGACAGGGATCTTGCCCGGTCTCACTCGCCCGGCCCGTGGATCACAGCGCACGGTCCTTACGGCCCGGTCTGGGACAGTCCCAGCACTGGGGCTCCATCTCCACAAGCGCCCACGGCCCAGCACCCTGGAGGCGCTCTGTAAGCGCTGAACGGAGGGGATGAATGAAGGGACTAACGAGCGACAGGGGACCACAGTGGGCCGCCGCCGCCGAGCCCAGCCGGCCACGCGGTGGGCGCCCGCCCTCCCCACCCCGCACGCCCCTCGGTCCACCCTCCGCGTGGCGGCCAGGAGCCCCGCCCCTGCCTGACTTCCCGACACGCTACATTCAGACGAGCCAATAGACGCGCGCTCCTGCTCAGCAGCCAATGGCAGCGTCCGGCGTAGCCCTGCGTAGCCCTCGGGAGGGGCGGGGCGAGCGGCCGGGCGCGGGTCCCGGGAGGGCGCGGGCTCGGCGCTCTTCCCACGTCGGCGGTCCTGGCGGCGAGCGCAGTCTCTGCTCCTTCCTTCGCGGCCCAACCAACGGATGATGGGGACCCCGAGTGCGCGGCGCGGTCTGGAGTGGCTGCTGGGGCTCTACTTCCTCTCCCACATCCCCATCACCCTGCTCTTCGACCTGCAGGCGGTGCTGCCGCGCGAACTCTACCCCGTCGAGGTGAGGCGCCGGGTCCTGGCCGCGGGTCGCCGAATGCGGGGCCTCCCTCCGCGCGCGGCGGCGGTGCCCGGGTTCCCGCGGCTCCTCTTCCCCGCGCTCGGCCCCCGCGGCGGGGTTCCCCTTCTGTCTCCCTGGCCTTCCTGCCGGCGCTGCGGCCTGAACTTACTTTTCAGCTCGACATCCCCCTCGGGGTTCTCTTTGTCTCCCTCAGCCCCCCCCCCCCCCCACAGGCGCGGGGGCAAACACTGTTCCTGCAAAAACAGTTCTTCCCGGGCGTGTTTAAAGGCTCGCACCACCCGGGTCACTTGTCAGTGTTTGAGGGAAGCAGCGTGGATGAGTCAGTGTGTAAATCGCGCGTTGGATTTGTTTTAAAGTTGTGTTTCTTGGAAGAGCTTTAAAATACCGTCTTATCCCAAAGAAATAATCCAAGTAGAATTAGATTCGTCAAAAGGGCATTTGCAGGTAGTCATTCAAGATCAGAATCCAGCAACTTCAAAGGCTCAGCAATAGTGACGCCTTTTCAAATCGACCCTCTCCATTGGGATCACCTGAGTGGAAACAGGCGCAAAGCCTCATGTTCCTGGTTGGTGGGGAGTTTTCTTTACCCCAAACTTTGCTTCAATGCTTGTTATTTCTCCAGACTTTTATTTTTCCAGTTCTTTCCATGCCTGGACCTTGTGTAACTTTCTTCTATGAAATCCCTGTCCTCGGTTCTGTGTGTCTGCAGTCCGTCTGTAGAACTGTGGGCAAGGCTGACTTGTAAACCTGTGGATTTGATTTTGCCTGTTTCTTCTTAAATGCTTGTTCTGTGCAGAGCGGCTTCTTAACCTGAAGTCCGTGAACTCCCGGTGGTGTTTGCAAAATGTGTGCGCCTTGCGTTTTCTGAGAGGAGAATCTATAGCTTCCATCAACTTTTCCGGGGAGGAAGGGGGTGTCTGACCCTCCTCAGAAGGTCAGGAGCCATTACTCAGCAGTGTACCCCCATTCCATAATATTTCTTTGTTTACTTCTAGATCCAAGCATAACCGGGAAGTCCTCTGACCTATGTTTTCTTGGGAAAACCTCAGGGCAGTGATGGCGAACCTATGACACGCGAACTCATTCTTTTGGTTGATTTTTCTTTATCAAATGGCATTTAAATATATAAAATAAATATCAAAAATATAAATCTTTGTTTTACTGTGGTTGCAGATATCAAAAAATTTCTGTATGTGACACGGCACCAGAGTTAAGTTAGGGTTTTTCAAAATGCTGACACGCCGAGCTCAAAAGGTTCGCCATCACTGCCTTAGGGAGTGTGTGACAGGCACATGCAATGGACTCAGACTGGGGACGGTTATTCCAAGAAATGCTGGAGTGTCTTGGGCAAGTCCGGGCCCTGTAGCCTCAGTTGTCAAGTAGGAGAGTTGGGTTAAATTACAAGCTTAAGTATGCACAGGGTGTATTAGTTTCACTTGTTGCTGCCATAACAAATTAACAAAATCAGTGGCTTAAAACAACCCAGATTTATTCTCTTGTATCTGGAGTCAGCATTCCAAACGAATCTTGCAGAGCTGGATCCTTCGGAAGGTCTGGGAATCTGTTCCTTGCCTCTTCCAGTTTCTGGTGGCGGCCAGTGTTCCTTGGCTTGTGGCCACACACTCCAGCCTCGGCTCTGTCATCACTCTGCCTCCTTTTCTTCTAGTCCCATGTCCCTCTGCCCTGCATGTGGATTACCTTCAGGGCCCACCAGATAATCCAGGGTAATCTTCCTATCCCAAGATCTTTCATTTAATCATGCCTACAAACTCTGTTTTGCCAAGTAAGGGTACATTCACAGGGATCAGGATATGGATATTTTGGGGGGCCGTTCAGCCTACCGCACAGACCTAGACAGCACAGACTCTTTCCAAACAGGTTGTCCACGCTCCGCATTAGCCTTAGTTGCCTTGAAGAAAGGAGAGCCACGTCTGTGGTTTTCAGAGTCTGTGGCCCACAAAATTCAGGCAGGCTGCCTATTTGAAATCTGTAATGTTATGAGTCCTCTTAATATTGGACAAATATGTTACTCCGGATTATTCCAGACTTAACAGTTGTTAGTTTCTGTATCCTTTCTGAATGTGCCATTCCACAAGTCCTTGCTCACCACTCACAAAATACAATTAAAAAATGTCTAGCATAGCCCCATTTAAATTTATATATTTGATTGGGTAAAGTTTTCTCAGCTTTATTTAATGTTGACTTAATATAAAAGGTCAAGGGCCAATGTAGGCAGGATCTGGCCAGAAAGTAAGTGTGTGTGTGTGTGTGTGTGTGTGTGTGAGTGAGAGAGAGAGAGAGAGAGAGAGAGAGAGAGATGCTGTTTTGAAGGCATTAGAAACGGGCATCCTGGCTTGGAAGGCCTGTATCTCTAGTCATTTTTGTTGCTCTGGGGTGGGGAATGATAGTTTTGTTGCTTCTCTTTGTGGAAAATAATAATAGAAGCTTTGAGTTATTCTCAAATTCTCTTTGGAAATATGCCAAAATTTAACATTTGTTGCTTTTCCTCAAGTAGAAGAATTTTTTCCCTAGAACTTAAAAGCCCACATAATGTTTGGGCTAAATAATCTTTCTTGGTTTGAACCAGCCCAACGCTTAGAAAAACTATTATGAAACAGTAAGAATTTACTTTGGATTAGAACAGCAATTTTCAACCTGTGTGCCACAAGAATTTTTAAAATATGCAATTCTTGACTTTTTAGTCAGAGAATTTTTAAAATATGCAATTCTTGACTTTTTAGTCAGGGACACGGGCCTCTTTTCCCTTGGATTGTCAGATTAAAGAAATGACAACAGCCAACACAACAATAGCTCTCCAGTGTGAGTGAATCAAAATTAGACTTCTTTTTTTGTCAGATTGACAAACGATACCTTTTTTTGGTGTGCCTCGGAATTTCAGTCATTACTTTATGTGTGCCATGAGATGAAAAAGATTGAAAATCACTAGATTGGAACATGGAGAGGATGGGAAGCATCTTATAGTATCATTTGCAGCTGGGTAGCATTGCTTCTGTTAAAATAAGGAAAAACAGGTGAGCGAGCATCTAGGTTTGCAGTCGGTCTGTGACCTCATTCTAAGTTAGAGAAGTACAAATTGTTCAGCAGCTCCTGGTTGAGAATCCCATGTGCGCAGGCCAGGTAAATGTTTGTAATGGATAACAATGTTAAGTTGAGTGAAATGTGACAGATATATAAATGGAAACAGTTTTATTATTACCTTTTGGGGGGTCTTGCTACCTAATAAGAATAGTTCTTATTGACCATTTGCATGCTGAGATGTTAACAGGATTAAACTTGAACATCTCCAGATATGTATTAATTACAATCAAATAATCTTTCTGTGCTAGTTCATTGTTCTAAAGACTGTATGCATTAACTCACTTTATTTTACCAACAGTGAGGTCGGTACTGTAACTGGGAAACAAACGTAGTGGGATTAAGTGCTTGGTCCAGAGCCAGCACTCGGGTCCCATGCTCGTCACCCTGCTGGAGGCCTGTGCCTGGCCTTCCACCCGCCCTCCTCCTGGCGCGGGCAGGTGGTTGTGTTCTAATTGGTTCCGAGAGCTGAGTGATTTTTTTTTTTAAATATATTTTTTATTGATTTTTTACAGAGAGGAAGGGAGAGAGATAGAGAGTTAGAAACATCGATGAGAGAGAAACATCGATCAGCTGCCTCCTGCACATCTCCTACTGGGGATATGCCCGCAACCAAGGTACATGCCCTTGACCGGAATCGAACCTGGGACCTTCCAGTCCGCAGGCTGACGCTCTATCCACTGAGCCAAACCGGTTTCGGCTGAGTGATTATTTTAAATTTTGCTAATTCCATCCTGCAGCCCTTAGAAATTACAGTACTGTACAAATCTGCCTGGGTTTATGAAATAGGTAGATCTGAGAGATTGTATACAAATGGAATGGAAAATGAAGTTCAAATGAACTAGAATGCCTTTTAAATTCTGCAGCAAATCTTTTAAAGCTTTTTCCTAAGTAAATCTGGAAAGCAAAGAAAATCTTCAAAAACTTAATCCAACTTGCTTGTTTATTTTATTTATTTTTAAAGCATAGGGTTTTTTAAAAATACACTTTTGATTTCAGAGAGGAAGAAGACAGGGAGAGAAACATCAGTGATGAGAGGGAATCATTGATTTGCTGCCTCCTGCACGCCCCCTACTGGGGATTTAGCCCAAAACCTGGGCATGTGCCCTTGACCGGAATCGAACCTGGGACCCTTCAGTCGCAGGCTGACGCTCTATCCACTGAGCAAAACCAGCTAGGACCCAAGTTGCTGTTTTACAGGCAAGGAAATAGAGCCCAGGAGAGGTGCAGTGACCTAACCTGTTTGTGAACGTTTTCTACTGCATTACTATCCCAAAAAGTGCTCAGGAGGAAGCCAAGGGTATTGCTGCGAATTTAAATTTCAAGTCAAGTACACATTCAGAGATCACTTGGTCAATAAATTGGTCATCTAGACAGAGCCTGTCTTGTTTTTTAAATATATTTTTTAATTGATTTCAGAGAGAGGAAGGGAGAGGGGGAGAGAGAAACATCGATGGCTGCCTCCTGCATGCCTCCTACTGGGGATGGAGCCCGAAATCCAGGCCTGTGCCCTGACCTGGAATGCAGCCGGCAGCCTGGTGCGTGGGACTACGCTCCACCAGCTGAGCCACACAGCCCGGTTCATGTGCTAACAGAACATTTGTCTCTGGATATTTGCTTAAAGCTCACTCACAGCAATGAGACCTCGATTTAACAATAGTGAGCTTTATCTTCTGACTAAAAATTAACAGGAATATCTTTAGATTTTCCATTGTAAGCTAAATTCTTACTTGGGAAGTTGCCTTTATTTATTAATATAAATACATATTTGGCTTTGATGGCAGGTGTGTTGAAACCATGCCATTTCCAGGAGGTTAAATGCAACAGACTTATGTGGAGAGCCCGAGGCCTTGCGGGGGCTCTTTAAAAAGCACAGAATGGGCAGCCTCCAGCCCTCTTTTCTCTGCCTGTAGCCAAGTCAGCATGGATCTGTATCTTCTTAGTTGACAGCATAATTATGAGGGTGGGGCCCGAGCTAGAATGAAGGCTTTGACATAGCCTAGAAGCTATATAGTTTGTGGTTTGGAGCAGAGTTTGTTCTTCTACAAATATCCTACTGGTTTCCTAAAAGAAAAAACTAGGGAGTCAATGACAGTTTGGCTTGACCTACGTGGCTCAGTGGTTGAGCGTCGACCTATGAACCAGGAGGTCTGGGTTCGATTCCGGTCAGGGCACGTGTCCTGGTTGTGGGCCCGATCCCCAGTAGGGGGCATGCAAGAGACAGCCGATCAGTGATTTTCATCATTGATGTTTCTATCTCTCCCTCTCCCCTTCCTCTCTGAAATCAATAAAAATATATTTTAGGGGGTGAGGGGAAGAACGACAATTTTAAATTGCCTAAAGTTGCGTCCTCGTAGAGGTTCAATTTACCTCCTTTCCATCACTGCCCCCTCCCCAAATTCAGTTCATTTCTGTATTTGAGGGTATCTGGCCCTCAGAGCTCGGCATGCAATTGCTGTTGTGAAAGGGCACATGTCAGGATGGTTTTTGTCGTTCCTTTATACAGAACGATGCTGTTGGCAGGTATGTCACGTTTGTGTGTTCATTCGGCAAACTCGGTGCCAGATACTGCTTTTGACAAAGGGCAGCACACCTCGGTAAGTGTTGCCATGGAGTCACACACATGCTGGGTGGCACAAAGGGCTGCAGGAGCTGAGGAAAACTTCCTGGAGAAGCTAACATTTGGGTTAGAGCTAGTGAGCTTTTTATTAAATGACCCCTAGGCTGTATCAGTCTGCTGCCAAGGGGGTTGGAGCTGCTGCGCCTACCCCGCCTGGTGGTTGTATTCATTGTGATCTTGATCTTTTGCAGTTGAGGAACCTGCTGACGTGGTACGCTAAGGAATTCAAAGACCCTCTGCTGCAGGACCCCCCAATGTGGTTTAAATCCTTCCTGTTTTGCGAGCTTGTGTTTCAGCTGCCTTTCTTTCCTATTGCAACATATGCCTTCTTCAAAGGTTGGTGAATGGTGGGGAAATCCCATTCCTGCTCAAACCAGGTCCCAGAAATCTTGGGGAAAGTATCTTCAAAGGAGAGAGGAGGGGCCCTGTGGTTGTGCGAGGGGGTGGAGGATGTGGTGGGACGGCCAGGATGGCTCCTATAACGGGATATCATGGGGCTCAGGCTAATGTCTGTGGTCGGCTGGGCTGCATAACTGCTCAGCCAACTGGACATCTCTCACACGGGAAACTTGAGGCTCCTTAAAGCTTGAACTTGTTGCTTTTTATTTCTTTTATCATTGGGTTTCATTTTTCTGTTTTAGGTAGTATCATGCTGGCTTATAAGTAGTAGCATCAAGCTAATTCCGAGGGTTAACTTCTTTTTAAAAAATGATTCTTACAGTGTCCCCATATGTCTGATGCTGTTATAAAGAAAGTAGTCACACCGACATACGTGGTAACTAAGCTTGTAGAGCTCATCTCCCACTGCAGCTCCCAATCCATCTCTGGGCAGAATCTACTGATCCTCTCACCTACATATACTATAATTACTTAACAGACATGTTGCTGTCAGCCCCCCTTCCGCTCCCCCCCCCCTCCCCCCCCTGCCACCCACACACACTTCAGACCAAACAGGTTTAACTTTTACTGCCCTAGAGTTTTCCTGAATTAAATTCCAATTCCCACCCTGGCTCTTTGGGAAATTTGCACATTTAGGCAGCATTATAACACATCTGGTTTTCCATTTGTTTCCACTTGGTAAGGGAGGTAGAATGGTTCGGCTGAAAGGAGCAGTCAGAGGTGTCCTGGGGCGTGTCATGGGCATCCCTGGAGTCATGGGCAGACCTAACGCTTATCCCTCTTCCCTACACCTGCAGGAGGCTGCAAGTGGATTCGCACCGCCGCCATCGTCTACTCAGCCCACACCATGACAACCCTGATTCCAATTCTCTGCACGTTTCTATTGGAGGATTTCTCTAAAGCCAGCGGTTTCAAAGGACAAGGGCCTAAGACTTTACGTGAACGCTTAACCCTCGTATCTGTCTATGCCCCTTACTTCCTCATCCCTCTTATGCTTCTGCTTTTCATGTTGCGGAGCCCCTACTACAAATATGAGGAGAAAAGAAAGAAAAAATGAGAACTACACAAGGAAAACTGCTCAGAACCCATGTCTTCAGTAGCATTTGAAACACCAGCAGCAGGAGCCATAAACTGTCACCTTCCACGGGCACTGGCACAGACCCCTCACTGAGGACCGGCCACCTTCACCATGTGCCCACCTTCCATTGCAGAATTACCAAAAACAGGGCCAGACCAGAAATGGATAAACTTCTAAGAAACATATCCTGCTTGGCATTTTCATGAGTTATTTGATCCACAATATGCATGTGACTAAACCCCTTGACTCAAGATTCTCTACAGCAAATCCCTATTCAGCAAAATGAGTAGTATGATGTTTCAGGCCATTTTTAAGTCTCAAATTATGCCTCTTCAATATTCATTAAAAACTGTTGTTTTCTTGCCTGTACCCCGGGTGGGGGGAGGAGAGAGAGAATAGTCTGCAAGAGGTTTATGGTTCAGCCCTGGCTGACCTTTCAGTCAGATATGGGTTAAACCAGAAGGTGCTTTGTTTCTGTTTTAAATGGCTCGTCCCAGAGGAGAGATTTTTTTTTAAAGTCTCCTTGTTTATCTTCTTTCCAAACTTTAGTCCTGTCTTTTTACAGACCACCGGACAGGAGTCCCTCTACTCTGAGGTCCGGTGTCTCAAACCTGACCTGGAAGTGTGCTGCCTTCTCGATAACTACATTCTTCCCAATAGTTTAATCATTCCTCCCCTTGTTTGTCTCAGTCAAATGGGGGGACAGCTGGGCATAACATGTCCACTGTATGCATCTAGGGTCTCTTCACGTTAGTACCTGGTATTCCATTAGCTTTCTCTAAGTTCATACTCAAAGCTAACTTAAAAAAAAAGATTTATGAACACGGACAACAGAAGAAATTGGTTCCAGTCAATTCCCTCTTGCCTGTTCTCACAAGCCATATTACTCTAATTATTGGGAGTATCCTCTGACTCGTGTCCAGTCCAAATAAAGGCAGCTGCTGGCCATTGCCTGGTTTGTTTTGTGGACAAGGGGCTGGAGAGTCCAAGGTTCTCTTACAAGTGATTAAGTGTACACTTTACGGGCACCAGGAAAAGAGGTAGATAAGCCATTTGAAAACAATAATTTATTGCATTTTTTCTCCAAAGCTTTGAATTTACAAAAAAAAAAAATCAAAGTTTACAGACTGCTTGTTTCAGAATAAGAATGCAAGAGGTGAGAACCTGGGCCACCGCGGTCGCAGGGCGTCTACCAGATATGCACTGGCATCTGAAACAAGCCCCCGCCCCAGATCTGTTTTATTGCCTTCAGAGACGATGCATCCTTCACACACCATCTCACATGATATACTTGGGTCATTAGTCAAAGTCACTGGAATGGTACAGAGGTTTTTTGTTTTTCTACCCTCCTGCTATACAATGAAATTTTCAGTTCATTTCTGAAAAATAAATTGGTCAATAAATTCATTTTGTTCTGCTTCTACTTTACACAAAGCTTCATATTCAACCCGATACCTGAAAAACAAAATTGTTAGAAGCCCTAAAAATGGATGAAATAAACCATGGACTAATTCTTCTAGAGAAGAATATAGGTGACTTAAATGATTCCAAGAAACGGTGTTAAATGAAGTTAGGGCAAGAGAGAAAAGACTAGATGTGCAGAGCCCTGCACAGGGCCACCATGAGAAATCTTCCGCCCTTAGAGGGTCTTCCGCCAGCCACCTTTGCCCACTAGCTACCTGAGTCTTCACACTCTCAAACTACTACAAGTGATTTGATATTAATGAGTTTTCCATCAAATTTTATTTTTAAAACTTTCAAATAGGATGACAAGTGAGACACTTTCTAGGAGAAAAATGAATAAGGATAAGAGGTGACTGTTAAGAAGGAAAAATAGCCAGAACCGGTTTGGCTCAGTGGATAGAGCGTCGGCCTGCGGACTCAAGGGTCCCGGTTTCGATTCCGGTCAAGGGCATGTATCTTGGTTGCGGGCACATCCCCAGTGGGGGGTGTGCAGGAGGCAGCTGATCGATGTTTCTCTCTCATTGATGTTTCTGGCTCTCTATCCCTCTCCCTTCCTCTCTGTAAAAAAAAAAAATCAATAAAATATATTTAAAAAAAAAAGAAGGAAAAATAGAACTGCAGTGGAGTGAAGACCTGCTTTACATAATGTCTTACCTTTCGAGCTGCATTTTCTTTTCCGCTATTAGTGCTTGGAGTTGCTGCTGTTGGGCTTCTCTTTGCTTTGCTATAGATTTGAGCAAATTGCGAGCACCAATGGCCTAGAAGAACAGTGTTGCCAAAGAAAGTCATGGCTTCATTCAAACCATCTTCAGTGTTAAGTCCTCAACTGGGTAAGCACCACTTTGGGGCTACCTCACTGCCCAGAAGGGAAAAGAAGGTTGAACCCCAGAGCTTTGGGAAAAAGAAAGGATTAACCTCAGGATTCCAAAGTTAGAATTGGCCTAGAGCTCTGAGGCAGATCTAGGAGTATCCCCAGGGTCTGGAACATTTAGTGCTCTTTGCCAAGTCATCTATACTCTGTACATCTTCATTTATAAGATGATAAAACCATCTATTTCAGTGATGTGACGATTAAAGGAAATAATGACAGTATACTGGCATATGAGAATTCAAAGTAGGTTAATTGGACCAGGAATTGTTTTTTAAAAACAGGTATAATTGACATGTAATATTTCAGGTGTACAACATGAGTTGATACTTGTATAGGAAATGTTATTTAAAATCTTGTTTTATTAAAAGAACATCCTCCTCAACACCCCCCCCCCCCCCCCCAACACACACACACAAAGTCAAGAAGGCAGAAGATGACAGGATAGTGAACGAGGATCCCAGGCCAAGATTGAGATAAAATGCATGCTGATCTTACCTTCATCTTCTCATTTTCTGCTTCTTTTGCAAGTTGGTCAACAAGCTCAAGTAAACCACCAACTATTTTCTGAAATTGGCCAATTTCTTTGGGGGAAAGAAGAAAATGTTTTTATTTCCTCAGTGTCATCACTCTCCCTCAGTGCTCCCTTTCAGCAGGAGGGAAGGACTGACTGCCCCTGCTAATTTGCATCCAAACAATTCCGTGCCTGCTGGTCTGACGTCTGCCCCCCTTGGTCTGGACCTAGAGATGACAGGCCGTGTCCAGAGCTAGACTGGGGAGTATCTGGACTTTGAGCCCCCACGACCAGCTAGCTGCTGTTACCTCAGGCTATGAAGGCCCTGGTGGACCTATTCTATGGGTGGACCCCATCCTGCCGCCCCCCCACCCCCACCCCACCTTCCCCCAGGAGGTACAAAGGGCCACATTCATGAAAGGACTGCCTCAGGACAGGAAGCTGCCTCTTGTAGCCACAGATACACTAGATTTCAGTTGGTGGGGCTATCCACTGTGACCACAGCTAATAAAGAGCTCAAAGCATTTAAGTGCCTAATCTCCCATTCCCTTTTTTTCAATATCCTTGGGTGTGGTGGAACCCCCACTCCTGAGGAGTAAGCTAAGGCCCAAGAAGATGGGACAGCATTCCCAGCATCCAGAAGGCTGGCAATAGAATTCATGCTACCTTCACCAGGTGAGCTCTCCACAGCCTACAGTCCCCGGAAGGCTCGGAAATCCCTGCTCTAGCTAGACCTGCTCTTTATTCGCGCCACTGGTCTTTGCCTGGCTGCTAGGACAGGAGGTGTCCTGGGTATCTCCTGTTAAAAGATGTTTTCATGGGGTCTGTTGAGCTGCTTCTAGGGACTCCAGTTAACTTTTACTCCCAATGCAGACAAGCCCACTACTGAGAATACTATTTCTCCCAAGAAATCAAGTCACCAGTACATAACTCTATTTCCTACTCCCAAGCCATAGTTCTGCTCCCATGAAGTTTAAGGTTTCTGAGAGCAAAAAAATCAAAGATGGCATATCTCAAAACACACCCTCCTCTCAGCATTTCAGCGTCTGCTTTGACTGGTGTTCCCTGTGGGACTACATGAGAGCATAAGAAGAGGGCAGGTAGATAAGGTGGGTAGAGAGCAGGTAGATAAGGTGGGTGGCTCATGGGAATTCATAAAGGTCAGGGTCAACCTTCAGGGAGCCAGCAGCTCCATTCTGGCTGGGCCAAGAACAACAGCTGGGAGGCAGGGATGGGGCACAGTTGGAATAATTCAAAGCTGAGTAGCAACATGTCTCCCCAAATGACACTCACTGTCCACGAAGTCCTTGCACTCTTCCTTGAGCTCTGTGGTCTGCTGGCTGACCTCTGGGTCCAACACCCGCAGCTTGTTCAGTTCATCAAAGTGCAACCCGGCTTCCCCCAGGATGTCCTTGGCCATAGCTGTAAAAAACCAACCCCAATCCATGATCACCTCCCAGCCGTCCAAAGAAAGGCCTGCTTCCAGCCCAGCCCACTCCTGCCCCCAGATACCAATGCCAAAACCCCAGCTGTTCCAAAGACTCCCCCGTCCCTCTGCCTCCACCTCTCTAAGCCTCACCTGTTTCCCTTCCAGGTTCTCTAGAGAAGATCTGCTCTGAAGGAGTGACAGTAGCAGCCAGGAGGAGATGTGTCATAGGATCAAGGGTCAGGAAAGAATAAAGTCCAGTTGCTTGTCACAGGCATCGTTCATTCAACACATATTTCTTGAGTGCCTACTACATGCCAACATCGCTAGATGCTGGGGGTACAAAGATGAGTGCAACATGGTACCCGCCCTGGAGGAGCACAGTTTAGCTGGAGGAAGACAGACACGTAAACTGAAAAATTATACTGTGTTAAGTGCTTTTACAGAAATATCACTAAAGCACTAGAGAACAGTTAACTTGGCCTGAGGAAGTTCACATCTGAATTAAGTTGTTAGCCATAAGCATATTTATTTATCCCCAATTATATACCCAAAAGGACACGAAAAAGCTTTTCAAATGCAGAACTGCAACAACACAAAAAGCAAGTGAAGAGAAAGTCTGGGTGAATTAAAAATCAGGGTTAAAAAAATAAGCCAGGAGTAAGCATATTGCCCACAATGTATGCCAGGGGGTACTGTGCGCTTGCCTGAACCGGGACCCAAAGTCGGGTCAGTCTCTTTCAAGCAGAAAACACACAGTAAGGAAGTCAGGGCAGGCATTCCAAGCAGAGAACAGCATGAACAGCAGCCTGACGTCACTGGAAGGGCCTAGAAGATGAAAGGACAGAGGGTGGAGCTGGAAAGGTCAGGAGGAGCCAGATCAGAGAGACCCTGTGTGCCAAGCTGAAGAGTTTGGGGTTCTTCTGTCGGCAAGAGAACCAGCACAGACATCTCTTCCCTTCCCAGGCCACCCTGCATTCCTGGTCTAAAGGAAGCCTCAGTTCTTGGAAAGAAACACTGAAAACTCACCCTCATTCTGGCTTTAAAATAACACACAAAACAAAGAACACATGCCCTGTCTAGAAAGGAAGGCGATGCTCTTCAGGACTAGCCACTGGCCGCTATACCAATTCCAAACCCCAGGGGTTCCAAAGGCTGCCACCACCTGGCCCCGCACCAGCCCTCCCTCTGCTCCCACCTCCTCCAGCCCAACCCTCCCCTCCCAGCTTCCTTAGAGAAGTTCTGTTCTGAATGGGGTGATTCTGGGACTGACTGCCCAGACCACGTGTACCATCAGAAGATCAATGGTTTAAAAAGCTGGTGTGGCCAAGTTGGTTGGGCATCGCCCATGTACCTGGGGGTGGCCAGTTGGGTTCCCATCAGGGCACATGCCCGGGTGGCATGCTCCATCCCGAGTAGAGGGTGTGTAGGAGGCAGTCGATCAAGGTTTCGTCTCACAAGGTTTCTCTCTCCCTCTCCCTTCAAAAAGTCAATAAAATCTTTAAAAAAAAGGGGGGGGGGCGTTAAGTCCCACCATTGCCAGAACTGATTTTCAAGAGGACCAGAAATCCAGATTTACATATGGAATCTGATTTTTAAAGGAAAGTATCTAACTCAAAAATTCAAAGGAACAGAACACATCCACAACTGTGTGGGCCAACTAATGCACGTCCACAGGTTGTCTGTGTATGACTGGGGCCCAGGCCTGTGGCCTCCCTGGAATCCACTCAAGCAAGCTGGGGAGCATCTTCCTTTTGAAACATTTTAATCATCCAGAGCTTCCTTATGATCAGGTTTTTTTTTTAAATGTTTTTATTGATTTCAGAGAGGAAGGGACGGGGAGAGACAGACAGAAACATCAACGATGAGATGAGAGAGAACCATTGATTGGCTGCCTCCTGCACGCCCCCCACTGGGGATGGAGCCCACAACCCCGGCATGTGTCCTGACCCAAATCGAACTGTGACCTCCTGGTTCATGGGTCAACGTTCAACCACTGAGCCACACCAACTCTGCTGATCAGGCTTTTAAAAAATATTTGTTCATATTTTTTAATATCCTACTTGTTACATTTACACATATACTCTGAGTCCTTAACACCTACCGGGGGATTAACCAGATCAACTACTCTAGAA